GGAGAGCAATAATATTACTCTAGTGGGATGTTTTATTATTTAATTTCATTAAATATGAATTAATTTTATTTCATATTAATTAATTAATTAGGAGAATAAAATTACTACTAGAATCTTCTCTTGGGATTAGGAGACTTGGGAGTCTTATAGAAGATGAAGATTAGTGGGAAATATATTTCCTACATTATATTATTAAGGGTCAAAATCTTTTTCACCCCATTATAACTCTATTCTTTCTTTTACACACCGCCCCATCAAATAACTTCTTTTACATGCATTTTTGTGACCTAAAAAGATTTAAATTTATTACACAGGAGACCGACACTCAGGCATTTTTCCGTTCGGAAGGATTCCCTTGGTATGGTGAGTGTTACAAGGTTTTTACCGAGCGCAACGCAGCGGCGATAGACTTGGAAGTCATCGATCTCGACCCTTAGAATCCACTGGACATGTAATAAAAAGTTGTTTGGCTTATTTTGTTGGACTGACTGCAGTAATAATAAATATTTTTTTCTTCTGTCAAGTACGTGTTTGTTTAATCATGATTCATATGTCAAAACAAAACAATATGTTGCATGGACAATTAAACTATTAATGTCCGTGAACAGAGTTTTCCCAGCAAAATCAGCGACAATAATCGAAGGGAAAATATTATTGAAAGGAAATTCGCAGAACTGTGAACAAAGTGCGATGATCACATTGTTCTCGTACAACGTAATGAAAAAAAATAAATAAAAGTAATTTATATTTTTTAATCGCATATCCAGGCCAGATCAACCGCATCATCATTTAGGATATGTGGAAAACTGTCGCATAATTAGATTATCGCATATCCAAACTGCATCATTTATGAGTATGCGACTATGTGGCATATGTTCGCATAATTTTCGATTCGCATATCCAAGGCTTAGATAACTATCGCTTATGCGTTATGTTTTCGCATAGTTACGACTCGCATATCCATATAAAACTCGCATAAATGTATCAATATGCGAACATATTTTGAATAGTGTTACGCACCGCTTTTTTTTCACCTAATAGTTTTTTTTTTAATTTATTAATTTAGTCAAAGAACAGGAATTTTTCAAAAATTATTATTTACAACTCTCCAAAAATATACGACGTCTGTATGTCGTAGAATAGAAAATTTACAAAAACAAAAATAAAAAAAAATATATGTTAGTCGTTATTGTAATAGTGTTATGCGGTTTTTATGCAGAATTGTTTCGAGTAATAATTGCAGGTTCATTGACCTAATAGTAGTAGTCTTCAATTTATTAATAATTTAGTCACAGACCAAAAACTTTTCAAAAACTTTTAACTATTTACCAACTCGGGCACTAATATGCGACGTTCGTATGTCACAATTTCGTACGTCGCCGAATAGAAAATTTACAAAAACATAAAAAATTAAATTTTATTCGTTATAGTACGAGTGTTATGAAGTTTTTATGCGGAATTGTTTCGAAGTAATAATCGCAGGTTCATTCATCTAATAGTATTCTTCAATTTATATTTAATTCACAGACAGAAATTTCCAAAAAATAAATATTATAATTAATTATGCGCCAATTCTGCGAATGATATGCGACGTAGTCTTAAATTTATATTTAATTCACAGACAAAGAACATTCCAAAAAATAAATATTATAATTAATTATGCACCAATTCTGCGAATGATATGCGACGTAGTCTTAAAGTTATATTTATTTCACAGATAGAACTTTTCAAAAAATAAATATTATAATTAATTATGCACCAATTCTGCGAATGATATGCGACGTAGTCTTAAATTTATATTTAATTTACGACAAAGAACTTTCCAAAAAATAAATAAATATTATAATTAATTATGCAACAATTCTGCGAATGATATGCGACGTAGTCTTAAATTTTTATTTAATTCACAGACAAAGAACTTTCCAGAAAATAAATATTATAATTAATTATGTACCAATTCTGCGAATAAGATGCGACGTATGTATGTCGCAATTTTACATCAACTCAACTACTTTACATCGAAAAAACTTTTATAATATAAATTATGCACCAATTAGGCGAATGATATGCGACGTATGCATGTCGCACTTTTACATCGAATCAACTACTTTACATCAACTCAACTACTATTTTACCCCGTGCTACGTTCAGTAACAAGTTTCAGTGACCATTACCGATCCAGAAGTTCTAGATTGTCCGGTATGCTTTGAACCTTTAAGCCCTCCAATATATGAGGTACTACTTAAACCCCGATACTACGTTCACCATTTCCTCATACCGCAGTCTGCCTCTCGAACAAATTGGGCAGCGGAGTCTGTTGCAGAGGAGGTACGGGGTCTTCTCGCCATTGTTTGTTAGAAGGGATAGGTCTGTGAGTCGAACGAAATTAATCGTCATCCCTTGTTTGACTTTGAATCTCCGTTTTCACATCTGTCTTTTCCAGTGAATTTTGTACACCAGTTGAAGAAAATGGAAAACGGGATTTTATATCAATGGTCTGACTTCCGATAAAAAAAAGTAGTATACCCCGGAAGAACAAGAACCTTTGTCTTTGAAGGCGTGCTCCCTCGCCGTCGTAGGCGCCTCAATCTAGTAAACCCCGGAAGACCAAGCAATTCACCGGAGATTCCACGTCTTCCCAAACACATGGTCTCCAACATCTTTTTCATCAGTTTCCAATTTTTTTAGCTTTCAATGAGAGGTGACCATGTGCCTGGGCAGACGTGGGATCTCCAGGGCGAGTGCTTGGACTTCCGAGGTATACTAGATTGAGGAGGCTACGGCAATGAAAGAGAGCACGCCCTCAAAGACAACAGGAGGATCAGGACCCATCTCTCAATTCTTCAACCTTCGATTTTCCTCAATATGCCGTCAATGAAGACTACATTGACCGGCATGTTGTGGAAAATCGAGAGTTATAGACTTGGGAGATGGGTCCTGATCCTAATTCAATTGTCTCATCTCAGCTGTCTTTTATAGAGGACTGAAGAAGATATCTGTCCTGATTGATACGCGCGCCGTTATTAATTTGCCGAAGACTGAGGGGAAGCTTCGGAGAAGAGGCGACTCTTCAAATTCGCAGAACTGCGAAGAAAATGCGATGAATCGCAATTCATTCGCATAACTATATGAATAAATGATTTCGTATATATCTGGTTAAAGAAGATAACTATCCTCCTTGATAAGCGCGCCGTTATTCGTTTGCCAAAGATTTGAGGGGACGTTTCGGAGCGACTCTTCAAATTCACAGAACTGTGAACAAAATGTGATGAATCGCACTTCATTCGCATAACTTTATGGCAATAAATGATTTTGCATATATCTGGTTAATCAAGAAGATATCTATCCTCCTTGATACGCGCGCCGTTATTAATTTGCCAAAGACTTGAGGGGACGTTTCAGAGCGACTCTTCAAATTCGCAGCACTGCGAACAAAATGCGATGAATCGCACTTCATTCGCATAACGTATTTACAATAAATGATTTCGCATATCTGGTTAAAGAAGATATCTATCCTTCTTGATACGCGCGTCGTTATTAATTTGCCAAAGACTGAGGGGACGTTTCGGAGCGAGTCTTCAAAATCGCATTTCAGTCGCATAACATTTTGACAATAATTGCATTGGGTTTCGCATATCTGTTTAAAAACATATACTGCGTAAAATAAAAAAAATTATTTCTAATGCGCCGAAGACTGTCATTTAATTGAGAGTGTAAAAGACGCAACCTGCCAACCTTTATTCGCAGCACGGCGAACAATGTGTGATATATCGCATTTCATTCGCATACCTGAAATTATGGAGGGAAAAAATCCCGCCAATGAATTACTAATAAAAGATAAAATG